GACAAGAAGCAAGAGCTGGGTCAGGTGGTGGCTCATTTGCCTGATTGGCCAGGACCCTAAGAACAACAATTGGGACATTTATTTATACCTTTGCAAAGTTAGTATTGGGAAATACAAAGTTACCTATCAATTAATAGCCAAAAATTGACCAGGCAGGATGTTTTTCTCAGGACTGAGATAGATTGACTGTGTTAGGCACTCTGGTCTTGTCCTGCCTTCCCACATATGATCAATTTCCAACTTCTGTGGCTCCCAACATCTCTACCTTTACTATCTTGTTCTGTGAATGATGGCTACTACATTGCAGTTGGAGAAGCTGTGTTTGGAGTACTCGTTAGAAGATGTTTTTATTCTTGGTGTAGTCCAAAGATTTTCGGTGCCTGTATACAGCATTTTAACCCTACAAAGTCCAATAATCCATAGCAATAGTGAGTTTAACAGTACAGATGGCAATTGTCAGAAGTTGTTAAGGATTTGAACCTTTTACTGCTAGCGTATTATTATGTCATTGCTTTTTTACATCTCGTGGCTACACTTTTCTGCTGGGTGTTTAAGACCAAGTTAACGTGAGACCTGTATAAACAAAAAAATAATTTTTGCTATCTATCAAGGTCAGTTAAAACTCCTCAGGATTTACCTTGGAACCAAATATAGCACCTCATTGATTTTCTGTCAATGTCAGCCATCTGGATGAATCACAGCCATTTCTTGACCAAGTTGCTTTCTGTGGACACATAGGAGATATATTTTCTGTCCAGGTGACTCTCTTTAGGTACACAATGAATCCCTTTTCTCTGTGGTCCCATAATCTCCTTGATTAGAAAATCAGAGACTCACCTGATTTACGGGATGTCACATGAGAGGTTCTTTTTTGTCCTGAGTCCTTTTTGACCTTGGAGGTATGCGGCCAAAATATTGGCTATCCTCCTAGGCCATCTATCTCTCTAATTTTTAGTCCCCAAATCTTAGTTGTTAAACATTTAGAAGAGAAACTTAATGACATTGCCCTGTAATAAAGGCAGTGAGCTTAACACTACTATCTTTCTGAATATCAAACACCTTAGACATAAAATGGAACTATTACTTTCTAACAACCATGGATATTCTAATATTTAAATCCCTATAACATAACAGAGAGTAATTATATATTTTAAAGAGAAGTCAAAGCCATACAGTGCACTGCAGCATGACAATCACCATGACATTTTGTGACATACTTAAACTTTCATTTTAACATAAAATGTCTCTTTTGACCAATCATATCTCTCTAATACATAAGCTTTTTCTAACTTCTCATCCTTTAAATGGATATTCCTCACAAGTTTTTGTTAATGGCAGATTGTCTGAAGTCTTATCATAAAAAGCAATTCATTTTGAAAGACTATATCTGAAATCATGAATACATAAATACATGAGATTAATAATAATGAATTACCATACTCATGTGAAAACCTTTGTTTCTCAGTTTTGTACTGAGATCATTTTTTATGAGAAAACCTTATTGTAATTGGAAAAGATAAAATTTTTCCTATTACTTTGTTTAGTCAAATTTTGTATCATTTCTAATGCTGCTTTCTTCTATTATCATTCAGTATTTTTTTAAAAATTGCAAAAAAGAAGAAAGAGAAAAGCTTTCTTTTTTTCAATGATCAGTTATGGGGGAGGGTCTCCCAAGAGAATATGACCATTACTGGGGGCTCCTTAGCAATGAACTAATCAGAGTCTTGTCCAATAATTTCTCCACACCCTAAGGAATTTTTAATTAGCTTAATTTTTTTGATGACCTGTGAGTAAACCAATATTAATATCACTTAAACCAGCTAGTAACCTAGGTGAAAACATACTTTTAAGTCTATAACTCAAATTGTTTCACAAACTAATGATACAAGAAAATTTCTGAGATTGAAGTACATTGAGCTCCATAGAGACAGTGCTGGGGCAAGTGGGAACTGGACAGGCACTGAGTGACTCTGTGTCTCACTGAGGAAAACAAGTAAACATGAGCAAAGGAGATCCTAAGAAGCCAAGAGGCAAGATGTCATCATATGCATTCTATGTGCAAACTTGCCGAGAGGAGCACAAGAAGAAGCACCCAGATGCTTCCATTAACTTCTCAGAGTTTTCTAAGAAGTGCTCAGAGAGGTAGAAGACCATGCCTGCTAAAGAAAAAGGAAAATTTGAAGACATGGGAAAAGCAGACAAGGTTTGTTATAAAAGAGAAATGAAAACTTATATTCCTCCTAAAGGAGAAACAAAAAAGAAGTTCAAGGATCCCAGTGCGCCCAAGAGGCCTCCGTTGGCTTTCTTCTTGTTCTGTTGAGTAGCGCACAAAAATCAAAGGAGAACATCCTCTCCTCTCCATTGGTGATGTTGCAAAGAAACTTAGAGAAATGTAGAATAATACTGAAGCAGATGACAAGCAGCCATATGAGAAGAAGTATGCTGAGCTGAAGGAGAAGTATGAAAAGGACATCGCTGCCTACTGGGGTGTAGGAAAATCTGATGCAGCAAAAAAAGGGAGTCATCAAGGCCGAAAAAAGCAAGAAAAAGAAGAAAGAGGAGGAGGATGAGGAAGTGGAGGAGGAAGAGGAGGAAGAAGATGAAGAGGATGAGGAGGATGAAGAGGATGATGATGAATAAATTGGTTCTAGTGCAGTTTTTTCCTTGTCTGTAAAGCCTTTAACCCTCCTGTACACAACTCACTCCTTTTGAAGAAAAAAAATTGAAATGTAAGGCTGTGTAAGATTTATTTTTAAACTGTACAGTATATTTTTTGTATAGTTAGCACACTACTGAATGTGTCTTTATATAGCCCTGTCCTGGTGGTATTTTCAATAGCCACTAACCTTGCCTGGCACAGTATGGGGTTGTAAATTAGCATGGAAATTTAAAGCGGGTTCTTGTGTGTGCACAGCACAAATAACGGGATGGTAGTTTTTCATCTTCAGGTGTCTCGCCTGCAGCTTAACAACAACAAAATAATTGTTGTTCTGTTAACTGAATACCACTCTGTAATTGCAAAAAAAATGTTGCAGCTGTTTTGTTGACATCCTGAATGCTTCTAAGTAAATACAATTTTTTATTAAAAAAGAAAAATTCCTGAGCTCAAATAAAAGGAACAGCTGTTCATGAGTGTCATGCAAATAGATAAATAACAAATACATAAAACACATGACCAAACATCTTTACAAAATCAGAGTGTGGTTAAATATATTTTGACCAAATTGAATTATAGTAACTCTATTACAATTTTTAGAAGTTTATAATTATAGACTAAGATTTTATTGGTCATCAATTAGCAGAGATCTGTTATCAGATAGTATGCACACTCTGGTTCCCAAATAAGTAGCTCAGCATTCTCAGGAAAAAGCACAAGTATGTCCTTGACCCCAAATTAGATTGTTTTGCTTTACCCGACTGAATTATCTTTCTATTGCTATACTTCCATCTTTCGTAAAATTTTAAAAATTTAATGGTATATATTAACAAGGGAGGGATTGATTCTCCCTTTTGTTTTTGTAGTTTAATTTTGATTGTATGGTGAGAAACCTGTATTTTATATTTTGCAAGAGGAAGCCATCACATAGCCTTTCTTAACCTAATATGACTCATCTGTCAAAACAGAAGCAAATTGAATTAACTTGTTGGAAGGATAATGGCAATTAATAACACCAGAGAAGTTAGCCACAAATCTGGATGGAGTCAATTAATATTACCAAATAAAGTTCAAAAATCATGAAAGGTTGATTTGAACAGTGTGGGGCATAGAATATCTCTGTTGGATAAGCTGAGCCAAATATGAAAAAGTTATCATAGCTTGTACTCCTTTGAAGGCCACCAGCAGGCCTACCATTATTTAAATAACATGTCAAAATCAAGAGACTGTTTAAACCCCACTTCTTTTATATCTGTTTGTAAAATATCAAGCAGATTTTGTGTACTGATTTAATTTAGGATTGTATATAAGCCATCAACCTTATTAGGAATCAAAAGAATTTTAAATAATCTTTCTACATATCCCCATTATTGTAAATCTTAGGAAGTATAATTTTTTATTTTTATTTTTATTTTATTTTTTGATTAGCCATCATTTTAATTAAAATTATCAGTTTAGATGAAGAACAGGACTAGAATAGTGTTTGTTATCACTTCTGGAAATCACATTTATATAAAAGGGAGGGAACAGGCCAGCAGAAGTCCACACTCGTGCAGCTTACGTTATTGCACGTGGACAGAATACGCTATTTAGGGTAGCATAACACTCAGGTCAGGCCAGGCATAGGAAGAGAC